CTCTGTAGGTCTTTTCTTAAGAATGTACACTATAAAGCGCTAGTCAATACATGTCTACATGTCGTTAAATTTTATTCAAACATGATTTTACCTAACCATGTATTTGATGAATTATCAAATATAACCCTGGTTTTGCGAATAGAGCATTTGCCCGGGGAATGAAGCTCGATTGTTCGATTCCAGGGCCGTGAGATATAAAAAGACGTTAAAATACGGTACTTGTTGTTACCCTGCCTGGCAATCAGCATTAAGGGGCTAAAACAAGGACTGGTCGGCTCGGAGCCAGTATACTGTGTCTGTGTATTCATGTTGAACTGCGGCATGCTATCTTAGTGGGCTAGCGCTTTAAAAACGGACATTAGACAAGTACAAGCAACCACACAGATGTGTTTGGACATTACTTATAAGTGCAATAATTTTGAAAGCAGCGTTAAACCCCATTTTACCTTACCTCACTTTCTCACCTCACGTCGCCATCTCACCTAACCTCACATCACCTCACCTAATCAAACCTCATCACCACACTGAATCGCACCGCGCCCCACCGCGCCCGACCGCACCTCACCGCACCTCACCGCACCTCACCACACTTTACCGCACCTCACCGCACCAAACCGCACCTCACCACACTTTACCGCACCAAACCGCACCTCACCGCGCCCCATCGAATCTCACTGCGCCCCGACGCACCCTACGGCACCTCACCGTACCTCACCACACCCTATCGTACCTCATCGCACCTCACCCCGCCCAAACGCACCTCACCGCTCCTCACCGCGCCTCACCGAATCTCACTGCGCCCCAACGCACCTCACCGTACCTCACCGCACCCCACCGTACCTCACCGCACCCCACCGCACCTCACCCCGCCCAAACGCACCTCACCGCTCCACACTGCGCCCAACCGCACCTCACCGAACCTCACCGTACCTCACCGTACCTCACCGCAACTCACCATACCTCACCGCTCCACACTGCGCCCCATCGCACCTCCCCTTACCTCACTGCACCTCGGTGCACCTCACCATACCTCACCGCTCCACACTGCACCTCACCGCACCTCACCGTACCTCACCGCACCTCACCGCACTTCACCGCTCCACACTGCGCCCCATCGCACCTCCCCTTACCTCACTGCACCTCACCGCACCTCACCGCACCTCACCATACCTCACCGCTCCATACTGCGCCCCATCGCACCTCCCCTTACCTCACTGCACCTCACCGCACCTCACCGTACCTCACCGCACCTCACCATACCTCACCGCTCCACACTGCGCCCAATCGCACCTCCCCTTACCTCACTGCACCTCGGTGCACCTTACCGGACCTCACCGCTCCACACTGCGCCCCATCGCACCTCCCCTTACCTCACTGCACCTCACCGCACCTCACCGTACCTCACCGCACCTCACCATACCTCACCGCTCCACACTGCGCCCAATCGCACCTCCCCTTACCTCACTGCACCTCGGTGCACCTCACAATACCTCACCGCTCCACACTGCGCCCCATCGCACCTCCCCTTACCTCACTGCACCTCACCATACCTCACCGCTCCACAGTGCGCCCCATCGCACCTCCCCTTACCTCACTGCATCTCACCGCACCTCACCATACCTCACCGCTCCACACTGCGCCCCATCGCACCTCCCCCTACCTCACTGCACCTCACCATACCTCACCGCCCCACACTGCGCCCCATCGCACCTCCCCTTACCTCACCGCACCTCACCATACCTCACCGCTCCACACTGCGCCCCATCGCACCTCCCCTTACCTCACTGCATCTCACCGCACCTCACTATACCTCACCGCTCCACACTGCGCTCCATCGCACCTCCCCTTACCTCACTGCACCCCGGTGCACCTCACCATACCTCACCGTACCTCACCGCACCTCACCATACCTCACCGCTCCACACTGCGCCCCATCGCACCTCCCCTTATCTCACTGCACCTCACCATACCTCACCGCTCCACAGTGCGCCCCATCGCACCTCCCCTTACCTCACTGCATCTCACCGCACCTCACCATACCTCACCGCTCCACACTGCGCCCCATCGCACCTCCCCCTACCTCACTGCACCTCACCATACCTCACCGCCCCACACTGCGCCCCATCGCACCTCCCCTTACCTCACCGCACCTCACCATACCTCACCGCTCCACACTGCGCCCCATCGCACCTCCCCTTACCTCACTGCATCTCACCGCACCTCACTATACCTCACCGCTCCACACTGCGCTCCATCGCACCTCCCCTTACCTCACTGCACCCCGGTGCACCTCACCATACCTCACCGTACCTCACCGCACCTCACCATACCTCACCGCTCCACACTGCGCCCCATCGCACCTCCCCTTATCTCACTGCACCTCACCATACCTCACCGCACCTCACTGCACCTCACCGCACCTAACCGTACCTCACCGCTCCACACAGCATCATCGTCGCCGTTGTGGTTTTCATCACCTAACGAGCTATGGCAAAAATAATTTATTTTCCATGATCAGTTACCAGTTTGAAACAAGACCACTACGGCAACAGTGATATATGACCATGCACATGTTTGCTGCACACGCAACCCACACAGTTTGTCACGTAACTGCGAGATGGTGTCAGATGTAGTCATTGATGTTACACCTGGGAACTTGCCACAGCCGGGAACGTCATGGTGAGTGAATAGTGTTAGTTTGACAGTTTTTACCTTTTTACTCGGTGCTAGAGTAGTCCTGACAAACATGAGAAAAAGATTCCAATTGGCAAAATAAACAAATTTGAACACTTTCATTACAAAACTAAAAGAGTTTATACACCTTTCTATCAAGATAGTAAAAGGGCTGACGAATTCATCTTTAGGTGTTTCAGACAGACAGACAGTTTATTCAGTGTGTAAGGCCATATGGCCCAAAGCACAGTTTAGTTTTAACAAATATATGAAAACCAACCTTTGTGTAAATAAATGTTTTATATACATTGCTAAAGATTTGATAACATCTTCGTTAATGGACTTCAACAAATTGACCATTAATTGATTGTCTTTGTGTGTAAATTACATAGAAATTTTGATCTCAACGTTTTATATTTTTCACAAATGAAAGAACATGAAACTCGTCTTCAATCTCCTGGTTGGTGCAGTTGGTACATATACAAATAACAGAATCAATATCCGTGGTTCTACGACATTTATTGACATTGAAGTTATTGAGAGATTTACCTTGTAATACAGTTAAATATTCTTCTGGTTGTTACAATGGTTTCATACAAGCATAATCCTTGAGAGATTGTGAAGAGGAGACGAAGGTGTTTCCATAGTAATGCTTAGGGAAAGATAGCGTCTTCTTAATCTGCACTTTAACTTTGTATATGAAATGACGTTTATTGAAAAATAACCCTTTGAAAACGCATATCATTTCCTATTTGCACGGGTATTGTATTCTGGAAGAGAGTTGTTTATAGGAACAACATATGTATGACCTTTAAGGGAAATGTGAGAAGAGAAAGTGAGTTTTTTTATCGATTAACAGGATGTGTTTGTTTGTTGTTTAACGCCGTTTACTGCTGACGAACCAATTAAGTTTATGGTGGGACAAGTGAGAGAATGATATGGTTTGACGCCGCTTTTAGCGATATTCCAGCAACATCACGACAGGGGACATCAGAAATAGGCTTCACACATTGTACGTCGAGGTATGACTGTATTTCCGATTTGTAGTTCGGAATACCTACTGTATGTCAAATCCAGAGAACATGCCCCTCTTTAACTTTCAAATCTGCTAACTTTGCATGAGCTAATTGAAGTAGAATTACATTACTGGTCATTATTAACAATTGCCATATGTAATCTGCATTAAAGGCTTTTCTTTTATTTAAGATATATCTCATGTAATTATTGTTAGTGTCGATTCCCAAACTGAAACAATGTTAACCCAGATATCTGGACGTAAAGGAATTGAGTGTGAAACCAACAAAAACAAACAAGCGGTATCCAATCAACAAATGTATTACAAATTTCGCGAAGTTTACAAATCAATACAAAATACTGCGCAGCAATTACAATGACTGTAAACAATAGAGGGGCAGTACAATATGCAATGGCAATATATAATATGAAGGCAGTGGTCAGTATCAAATAATATATACTGAAACGTATTAAAAACGCACCAGAGGTAAAAGGTGAAATTGACGCTAAACCAAATTTTATATGTTGGCTGTGCACTGCAATCACACTCAGATAACTTAGTTCCACGTTAGTGGTGACAAGTGTCATTGGAAAGTACACAATTTAACGTAGAGGAAATGGAACACACAAGGGGTTCAAAGACAAAGTCAGTACCGGTTATGAGCGCCCCTGGCGGCAATCACAGGAGTCTGTATCTAAAAATAGACGCCCTCATGCATATTCATGACCATCTGTGTTGCTCATTTGGCAAGACAAGGGATCTTGAGGTTGGGCTCGCGTGTGGAGATGGTCATGAATATGCATGGGGGCGTCTATTTTTAGATACAGACTCCTGTGCTGCAATGTATGTCTCACAACGCCCTCTCATGGACCGTATCAGCTTGTGGTCCTACGCCACTCACATTGCAGGACAAGTGCGAGCTCCCTTACGTTGGCGATTTGCGTTTGACGTGCAATGCCTCACAACGCCCTCTCATGGACCGTATCAGCTTGTGGTCCTACGCCACTCACATTGCAGGACAAGTGCGAGCTCCCTTACGTTGGCGATTTGAGGTTGACGTGCAATGCCTCACAACGCCCTCTCATGGACCGTTTAAGCTTGTGGTCCTACGCCACTCACATTGCAGGACAAGTGCGAGCTCCCTTACGTTGGCGATTTGAGGTTGACGTGCAATGCACTGTCCCAGGTAGTCCCGCAAGTGCTCCATGGGCGATAGATCGGGAGATAATGCAGGCCATGGCATCACAGGTACGTTATTCTGTGCCAGGAAGTCCATAGAAGCACCTGCTGTATGTGCTCCGGCGTCCTGTTGGAAAGTATGCAGCTCTTGGCGTTGACGGAAACAGGACAACGTAACGTTTTAAAAATGGCGTCCCTGTAGTAAGCTGTATTAATATCTATGCATACATGGAGCTGCGTTCTGTGCCGAAAACTGATATCGCATCAAACCAACACACTTCCGCCGCCCCATCGATCAACAGTCTGCACAACACGATCATCGTGACAACGTTCACCACGGCGGCGCCATACCCGTATACGTCCGTCGGCGTTCCTGAGATGAAATCTGGATTCGTCAGAGAAGAGAACGCCATGCCAGCGTCGAAGTAACCATTGTCTCTGTCGTGTAGACGTGCACTTCGGTGCCTTAGGGTCAGAGTCGGGCTTAGGAAAGGATGACGGCACGTTCACGTTCCTCAAGTGTCAATCTCGGCATTGCGTCCTCAGTGCTATTCCGCGGCTACAGAGGTTATGCGGGTAGCCTTAGAATGCCATCCATTTATACCCCATTTCTGCACGAAAAGGTAATGGCACTTTGCATTTTTCGTGTTTTTGAGTACTGTTCTCTTTTGCGTTATAGCGACGACGCACAACGACTAACAAACTTGACAACAGTTTTGAAGCGTCCATAAGTCCTAACATGGGGTATTTTCCTTGTTCTTTGCCAACAATCATGATATTTTCATGGATTCGTGTTGGTGCGTTTTCAGTATATATTCATCCAGCGGCGAGTGCGTTCAAGCTCCAGAGATGGGCTAGGCAGGAAATCAGGGATAACGAGCGATCTCTACATGAAAGCTGGTTTCGATGTGATGAAGTGCTTGAGGGAGACGTAAAGACGCTATTGTCCCCATACATACAATCTAACCAGCCACTGGAAAATTCCACACAGTGCCCTCACCGGTGTATCGGCATTAGAACATTAAAGAAGTTTCCTATCATACTATCACTGTCCGTGGTATACCGGACCGGATGTTTACACGCCACATTAGCATCAAAATATAGTAACTTGCGAAGATTGTTATTTTAAATATCTATAAAATCCATCCATATATGTGAGCCTTGTATCTTCGTACAATACCATCATGTAGGCAAACTGTCAAAAGATATCATTGATGCTTTACAGCGCCATAAAAACCACTTAATTTATTATTCATGTATTTATAAATATTGTATTAGTACAGCTTTCGATTGCCTTATTTATTTCATTCTCATCTTGTGTGTTTTGTGTTATGACAGATCACTTGATCGTCTTGTCAAGACTCGAGTGTTTATGATTTGCCGTCGTACGACAGGTGTATTTCTGTGTGTCATCAAGCAACAAAAAAGCTATAAAACCCTTTCCATATTCACAAGGAATGTCTGCGAAAAGCAGAGTAAATTGTACGATTCTGACTTTATCAGTATGCGTTTATTAATCACTATAAAATAGTGATGATACAAAAGGTGAGCGTATCCTGCCCACCGGTTGCACCCGTCACAAACACATGCAAAGGCTAGTCAACTGTACATCTGAAAAAAACCTCGGGAACATATGGTACAATTCCAAATAGGGAATTGCATCAGACTGGTGCATCACTGATGCCTCAACTTTTTCAAATGTCTTCCACATGTCTTCCATGGAACATTTTGGAAGTTTACAAAGGCCTTTTGAGTTAGTGTCGTTTGAAGCTCTTTGAAATCTTCGGAGACAGAGCACGCTCGGTTGTACCTCAAAAGTTGTGAAATGTAGACTCCAGAGTCTGAAGCTTTTGGAATATTTCTCAACATGAAGAGAAAATTGAAGTTATCGTTATTGTATGGAATCCTAGAAGGGACATTTTCGCGTTGTGCCATCGCCGCATTTTCACTCTTACAAAAACCAGAAAAAAGTGTCAAAATTAACCATAGCGCGACAATGCGCCATTTGACCATTTGTCGCATTGTCGCGTCGTCGTATTGTCGGTTCGATCCCCGGCCGCGTCATACCAAAAGATGGTACTTGTTGTTACCCTGTCTGGCACTCGGCATTCATGTTAAACTGCGGCATGGTATCTCAGTGGGCTAGCACTATTAGTCTGGACTAGTACAAGCAGCCACACACACACACACACACGCATGCACACGCCGCTATGTAAGTGCAATAATCTTGGACGCGACGTTAAACCCAATTCACCTCACCTCCACTGATTTACCCACCTGAACTAGAAATAAAGGAGATCAGTGATACCGCCTCACCTGTTTCATATTTAGAGTATTTTAGACTGTAGGACAAGCGAGATGACGTCAATTTTCCAATAGTCAACTTTCCCTTTCCCCTTGACCATTTGTCGCATTGTCGCGTCGTCGTATTGTCGCCCTTTAGAAGAATAATAAAATATTATTCAAAGCGCGACAATGCGACAATTGGCAAAAAAATGTCGCGTTGTCGCATTGTCGCGCTTTGAATAATTTTGACACTTTTGCTTGTTTTGCAAAAGGGCGAGAGGGGCGACAAAACGACAATACGACATTACTCCTTCCAGGATTCCATACTATGATCTTACAGTAATTTG